TAAAAGACTGGTGGAAAAAAACAAAAAGGGAGACATTTAAGGAATGAGAAATATCAAAAAAATTACAAATCCACATAACAGATATATAACAGAATACATAACAGTGTGTGTATATATATATATATATATATACACACACATATATACACATACATAACAGAAATAATCTTTTCCTTCTGGGAGAAATTCCGAGATTCTCCATTATATGTCTAGCTGCAAATATATTCATAAAACAACATATCTGCCAATCTAATATTACAAATATCAGTATTATTAAAATTAAATCATTAAAATTATTTTCATCATTAATAAAAATTTTACATTTAAAATACTATTAAACATTACAAATATTCCATATGTATGGTATCTTTATTAATTTAAATCAAACATTATTTTAAGAAAATGAAAAGAGTAGGTTTATTCTGCTGATATTTGTGCTATGGTATTAGGAAGTCAAACACCTAAAAATGTTAATTTTAATTTCTGCCTCTATATTCTTGTTTGTTTACCCAAATACATTATGTTTTGAAGGCCGAAGTCCTATTAAAAGAATTCCCCCTTAATGATTTCTCATGTCTGAGATCTAGATGAAGATCTTTAGACTATTTGTATTTCAATCCCTATTTTCATAAAGATATTTAGTTTTAATGTGTGAAGAACTACGTTCTAGCTTGACAGATGACTTGATTTTTAAAATATTGTTACTACACAAAGCTGCTACACTTTTTGAAAAAGCAAACATGTTTCAACAACACTTTGATAAGCCAGGTGCAGCCATTGGCTAACTTATCTGATAAGCCCAGGGCAACCCCGGGGGAACCTGCAGACCATTGTTATTTTACATTGGATAAATTATTTCTTTCCTATGATATATTCAAAAACTTCCCTCATTTCTGGCCTACCCTTCCAAAATGCCTCGGCAATCAAAAATTGATCTTTATTCATTACTGTTCCACACCTGTGTCAGTTCAGGTTCCAAAACCCCACACATTAGCCCCCCTGTTCCTGTAGATTTCTCACTCTGGTAGCACAACAGTAAATGACATTTTCAAAATTAGGTGTGTCACTGTTTCCTATTAGCATAGATACGAACAGCTAACTATTCAAACAAAACAAAACAAAAAACCCACAAATGGTCACACAAATACAAATCTTTTGTTCAAAAGTCCAAGGGACAAAGTTAGGTAAATAACCTCTATCTGGCCAGGAAATTTGCTCACATTTTAAACAGAATTTTCTTACCTCAGTCACTTAGTCAGTGGAGTAATAAAATCTGTCACTGATTTCTGACTTGCTTCTACAGAGTATACCAGCTCTCGCCATTATGGCACAAATGGAGGGTCTGTCCTCAGGTCTCTCTCAACTCCTCAGCATCAGACTCAATTGGAAACACAATTAAGTTCTAACCCAATAGTCCACATTTCTGAACTTTTATGAAACCAACAAAACTATTATTGTCTCACAAAAAGAGTAATCAAACATGCATGCTCTGGATTAAAAAGTTCACACGGATAAATGTAATTACATTATTTCTTTATCTATTCGATTTTAATTCTCCAGAAAAGCATGATCATATGCATATCTTTAGTAAGAAAAAAACGCTAAACATGACAGTCTTCCTTTGAATATTCTGACAAGTGGAAAGCTTAACTCCCCTATTCATAAAGAGATCTCAGCTGTGGGTTTTGGTTTATGTTCTATTCCTTATACAAATCTGCCAAGTTCTCTCTGGCTCAAGAAAACTAGATGATATGTAGATCAGCAAGGACCACATCTCCTGCGAGATAACACCAAGGGTCTTTTCTCGCCAAGGAAATTCCCAGTCCTTTTAAAACGCAACTCTTTCAATTAAACTCAGCTGTTAGGTTTAGCCGGCTTCACATTCTGTGAGCCTCTCTGAGCATAGGAGGAGCTGCTAAGTCATGAGGATTCTGACCCAAAGAATCTGATGAGAGACAAAATGGAGGGCCTCTTGATTCAGCAGCAGGTTTTGCTAATGACTTGAAAACAAAGGCAAACAGGAAATTTTCTACTATCTCAATTCCGAAAGGAGCTAACAAAACTCTTGCCAATAGTTGACGAGCTAGACCAGAGGCCTGAAAGTCATTTCTTTTTCCAGATTCCCAAGCAACGGAGAGTGTGCTATTGTTTATACAGACAATATTCATAATACCTGTATGTTTTATCTGAGTAGCACTTAATTTTTAAAAACTTATTAGAGGATTGAATCAAAGGAGATAAAATTTCCTTTAAAAAGCTAACAACCCCCTCCCGTGCCCCCCCCACCCCCACAGATAAAACCCCAAAAACTAGATCAACTACTTAAGCAAAGTCATGAGGTGAGTGAAGCTCATTGTCATTTTGACCTTGCTTTCCTTTAATTCAGGAGCCTATTTAGAAATGTAAGGAGCAACTCTCTTCATTCGGCTCAGCTAGCAGAGTTAATAGGCTTCTAATTAATTTCCAGAAGATTGCTGTTATAACTAACAGGTTTTAAACATTTGGTTGATTGGGGAAAATGAATTGAATATAATGTACTTGATTTGGAAAATTAGTTTTCATTCTATGTGCTTACCATCATAGTGTTTATTTTAAGTTTACATGATTCCATTAAGAGTCCCAGAACACCACCGGGTTGTTTATCCTTACAGAGCCCTAGCCAACTTAAAAAAAAAAAAAATCAATTTACATTTTGATTTTTGTTGGCCTTTATTTGAGAGCAGGTTAAATTCATTTTTGTGGCTTTAATAAAAGTCTCTGCTTGCTAATATAGCAACAGGCCCAAATACTTCAAAATGATCCCGGTGATACCTCTGTCAAAAGCCCACTCATCGAATGCAAATCCTCTGGAGAAAGGCTTCTGCACACAGTCAGAAGGACTGGTCACCGCACTGTTTACCAAGTTTCACTTGACTCCTCCTGACAACCATTTAAACAATGGATGTTGGGAAATGTCCCTCAAAGAATCAACAACAATGGCCGGGATCAGAGCTTTTCTGTTTTGCTAATACTGTTTTTAAAAGGAGAAAAATATTTCTTCCTGAAGGGATTATGGGAAGTCTTATTAAAGACACCTGCAAACAAAACAAGTGACAATCGATCTTTATCATAATTGATAACTGAGTTATCCTTTATACAAAACTCCTTTCATGGAGACAATAACATCGAGATTTACTTTTCCTATTAGATTCAAGAACTCAGCTAATTGGGACCACTGGTATTCAACAATGATAAGCTTCACCAGGACTAAGTGAGCGGATAATAAAAAGACCCTTGTCTCTTGGGGTAAAGAGAAGTACAGCAAGACTAGAATTTTCTCTCCTCACGCTGCTGAGAACGTCTTATACCGAAGTCAGGTAACATCTACCCCTGTCCCTCCACACGTCATGCAAAAATGTGTGGAGGATTCTAATTATGAGGGCTAACTCCGTGCTAAGCACAGGCCGGCCAGCTTTGGAAACCCAATTTGGCCCAGCTTTCAGTTGCAAAGAAACAGAACCTTTCGTAAAATCTTCTCAAAGTAATTAACAATCACGTCAAAACTGTTTTTGGTGAAAGATTACTTCTGGGGGATAAATTAAACAGCTAAACCCAGGAGGACACGTTTATAAAATAAGTTTGCAGCAGAGGAAAAAACAAATCAGACAACTTTGTCTGCAGTAAAAGTACTGTGCCTCTGAGTCTCAGCTTACCTCACGTTGGTAGACAGAGGATGCCTTTGCCCATGGGCTACACTGCATGCAGTCAGATATTCATTGCTGCACGTCTGTGTGACTAACGGGAATGCCTGTAATGACTTCAGGCCTATTACTGATTTTTCTGATACAGCTAATTTTCCAATAAGTAATTCTGCCTCATCTTCTAACAGTGGCTGCAGAGGAAATCCTAAGTTTTGACTTGAAGAGCATTTGAACACTGAAAAAAAAAAGAGTGGGGTGGGCCATCGGGACCAAGCCACAACTGCACACCCCAACTGTAGCGTTTCTAACTTCCTGGCCTTAAAATGAGTTTCTGATTAGACTACTGTAAACTGGCGCTTGGGGAAAGTGAAAGAGGGTCACGAAGAGTTAGCAGCACCAGCTGTGATTTCAGAGCATGTGCGGCCTTTGATAAATGCGTTTCGTTTCCAAAATAAACACTTGGAAATGAAGAAGTCCCCCAGCCTGAATCACTGAAAAGTAGACAGAATTAAACAACAGAAAAAACATCCCACATGAGCAGCAATATTGAATGAGGAGATGACAGATGAGCTGGCCCAACATTATTCTTTAGAACCCCAAGTTCACAGACAAAACAAATGCTTTATAGAAGGTATTTCTGTGGGATTGTTGGTTTTCTTAAAGAAAAAAAGACACCTTAATACTTGGAGCAATCAACGTGTGAAAAGAAAAGCCGCCTAGACAAACAAAAAAGGCATTTTCTGAGATGACTTTGATCCTGTACTCAAATTATTGGCTTAAACGTACTTGCCTTTCACGGCTTTGTATCTGCAGTAACTGCTCTCTATTGTCCTTGTTAACAAAGTATTATTTTCACCTTATTATTACTAATCTTTTCTTTGTAAGTAACCACACCTGGTTTTATCCAAAAAAACCGGTGCAGTAAATATTTGTCCTTTGTGGTAATACAATGCATAATTTAGTTAATCTAGGCTATCTTTCCGTGAGAGTGATTGTTTCTATATTATGAAATGTGCTCCGAGTCAAGTGAAATCCATGCCAGATACCTGGAAGGCAGATGGAGAAGCACTTACCAAGCATGTAGCTGCTTCGAACCAACCTTGACATGACTGTGTCGCCACTCCTACACACGAGGTATTACTCATGTTAACTTAGCCTCCAAATCACAACCGCACCTTTCTTTTACAAACACAGCCTTTTACTAAGATAACAGGACACACGGCCAGGCGGAAAGGCCCACCCTTGGCCCCCAGGAAAGGGCCTCGAAAAAATAAGAATGTTGGTTTTCCATTTGAGAACTTGACATTACTGTTACATTACCTGGATGAAATCTAGAAATGTCAGGGGCAGCAAGTCATCCATATGCCCAATGTCTTTGGAGAAACGATTTAAAATTCTTCCTGCAAGAACAGGATATGAGAAATTACTCATTTCCCCAGATAGGCCCTTTAAGAGAAACAATTCACAAACAAATCAAAACAGTATTTTAAATGCATATGTATTTAATATATTACTCATTCATGTGAATAAGCCAACGTCAGTGGTAAAGAAAAAGAAAGAAGGACGAAACCTAAAGAAAAACAAAAATACCACCAAATGGCAGCAGGCAGAGAGTTGAAACTTGGCCCTGATTTTTGAAAGAAGGAGGGAAAAGAATCTTGCAACTGTATCAGGAAGGGTTGCTGGATTTTAGAATATTCCTTCCTTTTAGATCCCAACTGCTAAGTAAGTAAACAAACAACTGCAAAATACATACATTTATCCTAATTGTCACACTAATTTTGCTTTAGGTATCAGAATTAATTTTACTATTTGATACTTTTTAAAATAAACGTAATTGTAACCTCTCTGTATTTTTTTTCCCCAGGATGGTTCACGGCACCTTACATTTTGGGAAAATTTGGAATCCTGCCATTTTCAAGTTGTGAGTTTACTACCTGGGGTAATAAGTCATTATTTTCAGAGATGCACCAGGTATGACAAACACAGACTTATTCCCACACATCCAAGAAGACAAGAGGAATGTAGACAGGAAGACAGAAATATCATTATTTAATTCATCGTTAACTTAAGCATTTAATTGTTTCTTATCATTGATTTTATTTTCTCCCTTAGAATTCAAGAAAACAGTATATCCTAAAGGCTTCAGAATCTGAAGATGAGAACTGCTTTCTAAGAAATATCTAGTCTTCCAAATGATTTAATTCAAAAAATTTGAAAACACACACACACACACAGCCTATTTTGGTGAGAAATGCATCTAGCTAGGTCCTGAACTTCTCTTGTAATTGATGCTTCAGGAAGCTACGCTGCAGGTGAAATGTGGGGCCAATGCCTGTCGGAGGTGACTTCCTCCCAAGGTCCTTCACACCAAGCCCCAAGTGGACGGTGAATGGCCAGGGGCTAGGGGCTGAGCTCCCAGTGCAGGGAGAAGCTTCCTCCACAGTCCTCCCACCAGGCGCGGAGCCTGGGCTCGGCTGGGAAGCACAGGGTGTGCCCAAGTGAGAAGCTGGAGCAACTGGAAGCTTCCGTGCTTGTCCAGGTCACGCCATTACAATCTGGGCCTCAATTCTCCTGTCTCAGGCTTAGGAAATACAGACTCCAGAAACTGTCTTTTAGCGACACCCTTAGCAGGCCCAGTGAAAACTTTTCTGAGCCTCTAATATACCTTCTTCAGAAGGTGATTCTGAGGATTAAATGGGCTCATGCAAGTGAAAGAACCTAGTCATAATGTGAGGCAGGTTAACAGGTGTTCAAAAAAAAAAAAAAAAAAACCAAGTCCAAGGTGAGAGATAATTACTGTCACCCACAGGTTCTGTGGCAGGTCACCTGGGAAAGTCTACCAGACACTGCCACAAGTTGACTTGTTAAAATGCAGATTCTGATTCGGTAGCTATAGGCCAGAGCTGCAGATTCTGCATTCCTCCCGAGCCCGGGGTGATGCCCTTTCTGCTGTTTCCCAGATCAGGCTCCGAGAGGCAAGAGGTTGGACTATGATTTAATCAGTTATAGTTTAGGAATGTTAAAATCAGAGGGGCGATTTTTCACACATTCTTATGGATACTGTGGCCTACCTAGCTATTTTTTAATTTCTCAAATTATCAATAGCAAAATAAGGAAAATACATGTCAAAAAATGTTAATAAAGACAGTTTAAATGCTTGTTATTTCCTCACTGGAAAAATGCAACTTTTTAACATAGGCAGGACTCAGAAATACAAGTATGGTTCTGCTTAAAAAATGTTGAAAGCAATAGTCAAATTAGAAAAAAAAACTACCCAGAGATGAATAGTACATAAAAACCACCCCTTTACCTTTTACCAGATGCCACAGTCTTAAGGTCTGAGAGACCCATGATTGGCAGTGTAAAATACAAGGAAAACACAACTAAAAAAACCATCTCCTGGTATAGCAGCTACAGTAACTGAACTAAATGTCAAAGATGATCAAAAAACTAAACTCTTATTCACCATTGAGCTGAGGTGTAGAAAACGTGAGATTGGAAGGCTCGAGAGTTACTTCCTGGCTCTCAGAAACAATGAGAATTCGTTAAGAGAACGAACGGTGTTTACAGAATATTTCATCTGGCTTTGCGATAGACTGTTATACTCAGAGCTATGATTTCAAGTTCATGGCCTCGTAGTCATAAAGTTTTCTCAAAGGTCTCCAAAACAAATCCTTACGATGAATTCCCTTGATGCACACGCTATGCCTCTTCATCCAAACGACATCTGGCACTGCTGGAATATCTCCAGGGATGTAGAAGGAAGGGAGATTCATGGTGAACAGGAAGAACACAACCCATTTTCAGACAGTTGTGTTAGACAGAGCTTTCTCACATTAAACCAAATCTTGCCTTCCTAGAACACCCAATCTCTGCTGCTTATTGTCCCGCACAACCATAGGAGTGAATCTAATTTCTCTTGACACGACAGCCCTTCAAATGCTTGAAGGAAGTTTACTGTATCTTTTCCAGACTTCTCACAATCAACTCGTCCTTGGTGCCTCCATTGTCCCTCAGAAGGCATGGTGCCCCATCTTGGCCGTTGCCTCCTGCCCAGACTCATATGGCCAGTCTGAGATGATGCCTTGGGCCCAGCATTAAAATCAATACCCCAGGCACTGTTTGATGACCTTGGGGTAAAGTGGTTAAGATCATCTCTCCCAGTTTGCACAGGATATAGCCAATTGTGAAGCTGACAAATAGTAAATTCTGGTGGCCAGATCACAATGTGGACTTGCATAGAATGAAAATCCACATCACTCCCATCGGTATTGCACAGGTAGATTTTTGGGAACAACTGGGCAATACGTATAAACAACTCTAAGAGTACATCTCTTTTGACTCAGAAATTCCATTTCTAGGAATGTATCCCAAGGAGTTAGTAAGTACATCAAAGATGTTCAATATGGCATTAATTGGCAAGTCAGAAGTAGGAAAGAACCTAAATGCCTGAAAATGTCTATAATGTATTATGGGCAATTTTAATTTTTTCTCTATGTTATTTTTCTACTGTGACTATGCACTGTGTAAAGAAAGTAAAGCGGGGGAGAGAAACACTTTGAAGAAAGGAAAAGGGGGAGAGGCGGAGGTGGGAGGGAGAAGAGACAGGGAGAGAGAGACAGAGAGAGAGAGACATAGAGAGAGATCACCCTCAAGTCCATATTATCAGAGAACCAATAAGGGTCCTCCTAACTGCTCTGGTGCACATTTTTCTATCTGGTCCACAAGATAGAATATCATGAAAGTCATCAAACTTCTTGTCAAAATACAAATCCCTAAGTGATCATATTTTAAGAACTGATTCTACAATCTAAGCTGGAATTAGTCACCTCTGGAATTCCGACACCTTTCCTATATCCAGGATTCCTCAGCTTACTTATAACCAAACTGTAATTTAAAACTTGGAAGTTCCCATGTCTACTTTGGGTCCTATTCTTCTTCCTCCTTTTTTATTGGGAAAAAAACAAAAAAGAGGTATATTTACATATCAGAATATTGAGGTATATTTTTACAGAGGTATATTTTACATCTCATGCCCATTTCAGGTGTATAAGTCAATGAATTTTAGTAACTTTACTGAGTGATTCAACCATCACCAAAAATCAGTTTTAAGACATTTTCATCCTCCCAATAAGATCCCTCATGCCATTTACAGTGACTCCCTATTCCCACCCCAGCCTCACGCAACCACTAATCTACATTCTTTCTCTATAAATTTGCCTTTTCAGGACATACCAACCAACGGAATTGTACAATATGTGGTCTCTTGTGTAGGGCTTCTTTCACTTAGTCTAATGTTTTTGAGGTTCATCCATGACGTATCCTGTGTCAGTAGTTCCTTACTTTTGAGCCCCATTTTCTACCACATTAGTGGTCTTAGGTACCAGCAAAAAGGCCGCATCAGGCCACACCATATGACCTTGAGGGTAAAAGTGGATATTTTTCATGAACTCTTTGATATTATGAACTTCTTTATATGTGCCCACGTTTAGCTTCATGGATAGTTCTAGAACCTGATTCTTTTCATAAGACTAATTTGATAGCCCTGCAGAGTCAGACAGGAGTGCTGGGTCTGGGTGGGGCTCTGAGTCCATGGGAGTGTAAAGGGGTGCTGTGGGGATGACACATAAAAAAAAATCTACAGTCTTGGTGAGTAGTGGTGTCTAAATCCAAGAGTACCGAGTCCCTCCAAAAGGGCAAAGAGAATGGACCTGTATATTCCAGGTACCAGGCAACACGATGGGGCAGATTGGTCCAAAGGAGAGGGTGTTCAGAGGAGCCCAGAGATGTCCACCAGGCTGAAAAGAATTGCCATGTGCATGAGGGTGCTGAGCCAACCAGGACTTTCTTCATCATTCTACACATCTAATTCAGCTTAGACTAGCCTAACAACAGGAACAGGAGCTGCAGAAGTCTGGGAGTTCAACATTATCTTCGTCTTCACTGTTAGAATTGGTCACCAATGTGGTGGCTGCTCAGAGAATGTCATGAAACAGAAAGAGCAGCAGGAATTAGGAAACCATCAGTGGAAAGCCCACAAAGTTCTTGTCTTCCTCTGAAACTCAGTAGCAATAGACTTTAGGTAACTCACCCAAGCTCCACTGAGACACGAATCCCTTATCTGTAAAAGGGAGATGATAATATTTGCCTTGACTACTTCACAGGATAAAAGATCATGATGATAAAAGAGCCCATGAAGGCACGTTCTAAACTGTAAAGTAGCACCCATGTGCAAGGTGTCATTCATATTATCATTAGGGGATTTTAGAGCTTTAGGGGCATGAAGTCACCAGGGCTGGGAATTACCAAACTTGGTCTTATGAAGATTCTGAGATTCTCCATAGAATCTCAGAAGAATGAGGAAGAGGAGGAAGAGAGGGCCAACTCTGCCCAGCTC